GTTGCAATGCATATGGAAATGTTGCATGCAATGTGGACGATTCATCCACAATAGAAACTCCAAAAAGTCTTGGGTGTCCTTCACAAATACAGTATGGTTCCCAGTCGCAGGCACATACTGGTAAACAACATGGCCAATAGTTGATCTGGGTATTGCGCTCAACTAATATAACTATCAAATCAGATGGAGGCATCCAATTATTTCACATTTGTTCTTGAAAAATGTCCCCGCTTTTCAAAACCATCAAAAACTAACCAGCACTCCAGAAAATAACTAAAAGATGCCGCTATATAAGCTTTAGCTATTATGCTGTGTGAATACCGTTCGCACAATATTCCCACCACTAGATGGAGCCGAGGAGCGCAGGAAATTCCTATGCTCCTTGGCTCCATCTAGCGGCGGTAATGCTGTGTGAATGGACTTAAAAGGAGAATTAAAAAGGAGAATTATGAGGCGAGTGCTTTTCACTCAGCCTCATAATCTGAGCCGGCCAGTGACAATGAAACGGTCACAGGTCGGCTCAGTAGATCGGTAAGTGAGCGAACACATTCCGGCGTTCGCTCACTTCTCGATTCTGTCACTGCAGAGAGCCGTGACAGGGGAGTGACTGGATTCTCCACTCCCCTGTCCGATCCTCCAGCGCTGTCTGGCGGAACGGACGGGGGAGGGGGCGGGTATTATGTCTGGATCCGCCCAGCTGCATGAGTGATAGCTGGCACCTGCCTATCTAGAGACAAAGCCAGCTGTCACTCACGCAGCTGGGCGGATCCAGACATAATTGTCAGGATCCATTTCTGCAGCTCACGGTATACTGAGCTTTGGGTAAAAGGAGGACGCTAGTTTGTGTCCTCCCGTTACCCTAAGGAGAACTATGGGGAAAAGTCCTAACCCCATAGTTCTCCTTTAAGGAAACCCAGTCCGCATGAGTTCTTCCAAGCCAACTCAAAACTGTGACCCCATCCTGGCCCAAACAGTCATGCCAGTTGCAGCGCGTGCTTTCTCCATTGCCTAGGACATGTTGTTGCAGGGCAAGGAATGTGCCTGCTGCCACTGATTGTGCCAGGAGGGGGGAGTGTCAGTTCCAATTTTGAGGGGGCTTGGATGAACTCTGGGATCACACCATGCCCCAGCACATCAACACACAAATGATATATCAGGGATTTAACCATCCCCTACTTTATTCAAAATGGAAATACCTTTTTAGAAGTACATAAAAAGAAAGAAAAGAAAAGCCTGTTTGTACGTCAATCGTGAGAAAAGCATTTTCTCTTTCCGACTCCATTTTGCTAAACTCAACCTATCTGTATACTTGTGTCTGTGTGCCTTAAAGCAACATTCTTGTAGACTATCATAATAGGCTCTTATTAGGAGAAGCTATATAAGGCTGCATGTATGTGAAGATGATTTAAGATCTCCTGGAGGTCACACAATATTCTATTCCAATATATATTTTTTGCTATTTTTCTACATCAAGCAGATGCCATTCATGGAGTGAAGTTTCAACTGTAGCAATAGAGAAAAAAAAAATCAAAAAGGACCAGGGTGGAATATTTTTTTCAAATTATATTCTTACAGAAAATGTGGTTTTGCTCTGAAAAACTAAAAAAAATCCAATGTTACAATCAAATGAAATTCGTAATTATTGAATGTTTTCTTGAGATTATCCGCACCGAATGTCTATATGAGTGCGTGTATGTGTACGTGCGTGTATGTGTACACACACATTATATATATATATACACACATACATACACACACACACACACAAGATCCCCATGTACATGCCCAGTTTTAGTAACTCCAGTTCCCTAATTTAGTGGGATGTGGGACATGCTAGGACTAGTCATATAAAACACAGGGAGCTGAGAGTGTTCATCCAGATAGGATGAACCACCAGAAGGTGGTGATAGCACCCAGAAAACACATCCAAACTGCTGTAAGTTATGTGTTTAAGGCCTGGTTCACACCTGTATGTTTTGTAGCGCGGTCAATGCTCTATGAACGCTCTACAAAATGCTCAAACATGAAAATCCCCATGTTTTCTATGGTTCACACCTTGTCGTATTTCAGCTCGTCTGAACGCGCTACAAAACGGCCTACACCTGAAAAGGTACATGAGCTTCTTTGCAGCGTTTTTGTCGCGCGTTTCCACTGGGATACAGCCAAGTAGCCCTTGGAAACACGCATTTGTCGCGCGTTTTTTTTACCGCGATATGCTGTAAAAACGCTTGTCACGAAGCGCGCGACAAACGCGCATATTCGATACGCCTTGGTGTGAACAGAGCCTTATGCTGTTCCTTCAGGGCCTGTTCACACCAAGGCTATGCGTTAACTCATGGTACCCTGCAACACACATACTGTGCATTACAGTGCAGCAAGTGTGTTGTGTTGCCATCCATACGATTGACTGCACCAAAACACTTTAGGGTGCCGTTGAAAACAGTAGTACAGTTGTGCGGTTGCAGTTTTTTCAAACGCAACGCAAGGTAATGCAGTACTGCACGTTGTAGTGCGGTCAAGCTCATTCAGGCCCGGAGGTGTGTTTGGGGTGCCATTCAAATGAATGGCGATACAATGCACCTGCCTCACTGAAACGCATGGTAGTTGTGTTGCAGAGTACTATGCATTAAAATACCTCCTGGCCACAATGCACTCAACCACGCTGCAAATTGTGCAAAACGCATTTGAAATCAGTAGTGCATGCCCTTTTTTCCCTCCGAACACACTGCAGCCTACAGTAATGCAGTATCACATGTTGCAGTCTGGTTGAGCTCAAGGCGGTCGGGAAGTGCGTTTGGGGTACCCTTCAAATGAATGGACGCGCCAACTTACCTGCTGCACTCTAATGTACAGTAGATGCATTGCACAGTGCAATTAACCATGGCCTTGGTGTGCTTGCAGTGCTGATATGTGAACCACTTAGTATGCTCCACTTTATTCTTACAGATTTAGATTAAAGCTGGCCGTTGGTGGCCCACATTTTGGCCTATTCTTGCTGAATTGGGCAAAATGTTAACTGTGGGCGGATCTGTTAACACCAAAAATGGAAAAAAAAAAAAAAAAATCAACTGAGCCGAGTAGAAAGTTATCTTATCAGATGCAGTCATTGTTTGAATATTCATGCAGCCACAGGTACTGCAGCTGCCTGAATACAGTACAATAGCTGGCAATGGATATTCCTCCATACATGTTTAGCATAGACATAGGACACCGATTTTTTTTCTTTCAGACACCAGGCTCGATAACAAAAATCTAGCCATGCAAGTCTAGCATAACAGAAATGTTTTTGTCACAAGCACCCCCATAATAACCATTACAGCTTGGTAACTATACTGCCATGCTTAGACTGTAAGTGCATGGGAACAGTTAGTGCTTTTTAGCTTCATTTGGCCTGGCTATGTCACCAACACTGCATTGATAAGAATCATACAAATTCAATTTCCCATAAAATACCCATTATTAACAATCCATGTACATAGATGGGTTTGTGCGGTAATGAAGGGCAAGACGCTGTTATGCAAGGTGCAGTAACCAATCAGAATTCACTCTAGTAATTTTAGAGTACACATTACCAGGACCGGATTTACTCTCTTTGCTGCCCTAAGGCCAGGTTTCTCAATGCGTCCCCCTACCCGCCCAATGGAGAATGGCAGACCGCATACAAGTGATCTCGGTGACATCGCTGAGATCACTTGTACAAAACAAGCGGCAGCTTCCTGGATGTACATTTAGCTCCGCTTGGCCAAAGCAGGGCAAAATGTAGAAAACAACCACCCGCCCGGCGCTCGGAACTGCATGTCCCGGGCATCAGGAGATAGGAATTCCATACCCCTGCTGCCCCTCTATTCCCTGCTTGCCCAAGGCCGGGCCTTGTGGGATATCCGGCCCTGCACATTACTATTGGTTGCCAAGGGTAAATACACTCCTCATCGTCAGAGGACTGCCCTACTGCAGAAACCCAACTTTATTAGGAAAAAATAAAATTAATATATTAGGAGTAGCTTTGTAAAGGGCAAAAATACCAGATTGCAGCAAGATTGTCCTTTAGGATGACTGTGGCCATAAACTGCACTGAACTAGCCAAGCATGCATATTTCCCCCCATATACACCCCAAGTATTGGGCTTTTCCCCAGGTATAAGATCCAAAGCAATTCCTGCCCCAAGATCTGTCAAACCAGGGTTTCTGCACAGGTTAGCACCGCCTATATACACTTAATCCCTCCCCAATCCAACCATTATTGGCCAGATTGAGCAACCATCATTTTACTGTATGTCCACTGGGCACCTTAATTATATTCTCCTCCTGTCATTTTTTCCCATACTACATAAACAATTCCAGCAAAATTTGCAATCATGAAACAAACTGATCAAGTGGAAAAAAGGAAAAGCAGCTATCACTACCATCATAAAGCTGGCCATACACTGGTAGATTTTCGTAAACGTTCCTCCGAAAAATCTCATCAGGACGTTCAATAACGCCATCAGAGGCTTGATGGACGTCATTTGAAATCTAATCTAGTTTGGTTTTAACATTCGATTTTTGGAAGAAATAGGATTTCCTTAAAGAAAACCACAATTAGTTAGAATTTCACTTTTTAACAAAAAAAAAAAAATTTTTCATCCCCACAGTCGAAAATAGTCAACTTGATCCCATTTACCATTAGAAAATCAAATGACGGTTCCGAACATTTCTGCTGGTGTATGGCCAGCTTTAGGAAGATATTGCTGATGCCATCCGTTCTTGGCAACATTTCGGAGAGGTTGCTGGATGTTATGACATCAGTGCAGTCAGACGTTTGACCAGCCTTAACTACGAAGGCAAAGATCATGAAAGCTGTTATATTAGATGTTAGTAAAAGGCAGGAGAAAGGTTAGGTTGGGTGGGGCAGATGAAGGTATTCATCCTGGGTGTGTGATCAGAGACAGTGAGCAAAGCCGGCAAGTGCCAAGGCAGAAGAGGACAAAGCGTTAATATGGGAGTTCTATAGACCTCTCTTACCTGCTCAGGGAGAAATCAGCAACTCAGAGCTCTCCTGTGTGGATCAGGACACAGGGAAGTTCTGCATTAGCCTTCCCAGGGTCCTAAAAATCAAAGAAGGAGGGCAGCCAATGAGGAAAGACACTCTTCCCCTCTCCAGCCTGCCCTCCCGCCTGGGATTTGGCCATACAAGGAGAAGGAATTTGAGGAGGATGCGAGTTGTGTGGGACACACAGATCCAAACCCAAACACAGGATATTCTCCCTTATATAGTTCTCAGCCCCACTTTCTGTCAGTGTGCAAGGAACCCTCTTTACAAGGCTGTATCCACAGGGGAACACTGCCAGTCCTCCTTATATGGGGTGTGAGGGTGTACGAAGAAAGGGGGGCACAGCAATATTGTACAGTGCAATTCTATACAAATCCTCTATAGATGATAGATGGTTGGTCCACTTAAAACTTATGTTTCAGTTTTCTGGAGATGCTGGCAGGGTAAATCACCCCACTGATATCTCTCGGGATTCCGATATAGTTCCCGGCTTCTCCCAGGAATCTCATTTCTATTGCTGGATTCCCCCAACCATGAAAACAACAACAGGGAGAGCCTGGGGGCCATAAACCTTGCAATCTAAAATCTGCAATGTCTATTTAGTCTGCTTTAGATCTACCAAAACTGTGCAGTAGAAGCACTACATCAGGGGTGGGCAAACTCCAGCCCTCCAGCTGAGGCACAACTACACATCCCATTAGGCATTACAAAGCATATCTGAGAATGACCCATCTCTATTTTCCCCCCCAGAATCAGCAGAGCCCAACACTACACCACTCTACTGCTCCACTTCAGCCAAAAACACAAGCAAACTGTGAGAAAATGATACACACACACACGATATAGGGGATATATATATATAAAATCACACACACTATATTGGATATAATGGGGAAGGGTGCGCACTGGAGAAATTTCCCCACACAGACAGCATGCAAAACCTGACCGAGGTCTTAAGCTGGCCACACACACACCAGTAGAATTTTGATTGATTTGGGCTTTGGCTCCTCCAACTCACAGGAGATTTGCTGTCCTGAGGGCATTCAGATCATTGCTGTCCTGGAGGGCATTCAGATCATTCCTACACGTTAACCTCTATAATTTCTGATCATTTAAAAGGT